ATAAAAGGAGCATTTACTTAAATATTTGTATCTATAAAAATAACGTATAAACATAAAAAAATGTCTTATATAAGCGGTGCTATAATGTTATAGGCTACAGCCTATAACATTAAATCATAAATGTATGTGTCTAATTTTATGTTTATAGTTCTGTTTGTTTTCAATTTATAGGAAAATCAGAGATTTTACAAGTAACTGATTAATACTGTGAACATTTCTACTCATATACAAAATTTATGACAGTCAAATCCATGAATAGACATCATGAAATAAAACTTATTAATGTAATTGATTGTTTGTTTCATGCTCTTTCACGTTGTCTACCAGAACAAGAGAAAATCCAAATAAGGGTATAAAGAAAACTTCTAACTAATCGTTAATGCATTTTGTTGACAGGAAAAAAATACGGATGGTAATGATTATGTAATCAATAAAATGGTATTGATGGGGCGAGTGGACGTGGAAATGATATTGAAGACGACGATGAACAGAGTTACAATGTGGTAAGAGAAGAAATGAAGACAATGCTGCGAACATAATAGAAACAATATCGAAAAATCCTAATCTTGGTATCATTGCAATGATGAAAATGATGATAATAATTTGATAGAAAGTAAGGAATATTCTCGAATAATATCAATGACAGTGACGTCATAAAATATCAGGCGTTTCTCTTTAAAGCTATAAACATGAGTTGCTGGTGTAGTGGGTTCGATTCACACTTGAAGCATAATAAATAATTTAATAAAATATACTTAACAGAATTAAAACATTACAACCGACAATTACATAGCAACCACAATCACCTGAAACTTTGCGGCTTAGCAGTTGTTATCAAACACGTCTCACAGGCTGTTTGTAGCCAGTTCTATCTTCGATGTTTAGAAAATATTTGATCGACTTAAATAGTGACGTAATTTCCACTGAAAGAAGGGATTTGAGATCAAATAAAGCCGGTATTAGGAATGCTGATTTTCCAGGCAGTCAGGCTCACACCACTTATAAGTCTGACACAGTAATCTTTTTCTATGCCCACTTTCTTGTTTCTTCATGTTTCATCCTTAGTTTGAAATATATTAACTTTAATAACAATAAACGATATGCTTTTTCGTAAGATAGGCTTCTGGACGAGGAGATAAGTAAATATGATCCTCTCTGAGTACAGTATAATGTTAACCTTGTACTAGATTAAAGTAAGTTTTCTGTATGAATTCCTGGAATGGGGAGTTATCATTATTTACAATCAAATTAATCTCCTAATCTTTGTTGTTATTATTATCCCGCTTCAGGCTTGGCGCCCTCCGGTCTTCTGTTTTGTCTATCCTGATAACTTTCAGGGAATTCCTATCAGAACCACTTCTCCATTACGGGAGTAGATTTCTCTCGTTTCGCTCTCCATATCAAGGAATATGTCGTCCTTTTTATTTTAGTACTGTGGGTACAAGACAAATAAGCGAGCAGCATTAAAAAAGACGAGATAAGATGTAACGTCTAACGACTAATATCGCAACGCTTTACTATTATACTGAATTCATACAATACAGAGTACTCTAAATAGCGGACTTGTATCAAACTAAGACATCTGTACGTAAAATGGAGGTCTTTCTTTGCTCTTCTTATTTACTTTGCTTATGTTAGTCTTATTTTCCCATTACAAACATCAAATGGCCAGCTGATCAGCCTTGCGTATCAAGATTCTATTTTTTATTAATAATACTGAAGAGATGGCTATACAATATTAATATACCATAGCTCATACCAATCATGTCTACTGAAAGAAAACAACGCTTCTGTTATCCTTCTTGAAGCCAATTGTTCCGAAAATTAACGGGAATATGCTGATTGCATCGGTGTCCATAGCTATTAAAAGACTAATCTTAAAAAAAAAGATCAACATTTTATAACAAATATTCCAAGAATTAAGACATCAGATAAACTTTTCCGAAACAGAGACAATGATCTGGAATTGGCACGTCCCCTGAATCCATTATAAAAATTCATAATAATGAATCAATAAATTCTAAACACTTCGGTGTCTCAATCAGTTATAACAAATTTCGTATTGGCGATAACACAGTTAAACACAGGATAGTTTGCTGCTACAAAATCAAAAACTGACCTGAAAACTAGAATTATGTTCTTAAATTCTCTTGTCAGATCTAGACGTTTATATAAATGGCATACATGACATCCAAATCAGAGATGTCTAAATTGGCATCTATACTTACAACAGTTTTCCCAGAGCAATGGTTAAAAATTGACCTGAAACGATTAAATCCTAGAAATATTAAAGATGATCCTTTATTAGAGCCTATAGATTGGCGATAAAAATCAGAAAGCGATTTAAAACCACATTATGTCAACACGTTCAACAAAAGCGACAATAAAATTGGGTGACACATATTACCAGAAGAGAAAATAATGATATAATGGACGTGTTAAATTTCCAGTCTACTAAGAAAGATTAAAAGGAAACCCCCAGCAATATTAGAAAGAGCTATATTATTTACTGGAGTTGAGAAATCTAATTTAATGAAAAAAAAAAAAACATTTACAAAATAAGATTTTTATAAATTTTAACCAATAATAATGCTAATGTTGCATGTTTCTTGCTTGGAAATGGCTATTTTATCATTACCGTTAGTATTAATGTCAATATTATCGTGATCTCAAGATGCTTCTAGGTTCTTTATAAATTATAATTACAATTTGCTTATGCATCCATGGTGCATTGTTGTGAAATGAGAGCAAATCATACTTATTATAAAACCCAGGTTGTGTGTGTCTGTTCGTCTCTATATGGGATCGGATTTCCTACATTTTTCAACCGATTTCAACAAAACTTCACTTTTTTTGGCAGGTAGTGTTTCTTATTGTCTTGCACACTTTTTTCTTTATTTTTACATTCAGAATGCTTTAAAAATTCCATTTACAAGGCAATTGTTTATAATAAAATTCTATTCAATCGGTAGACTCATAACGATTGAAAACAATGTTTTTGTTTGAGTTTGGGTTTGACCAATTCGTAAAAAAAAAAAAAAAAAAAACTAAATAAGATATGCGTGTCCGTCAACCTTAAACAATAATCTTTGTCAGTTTTATTTTTCAGTCTTTATGATGATCGATACTTGATCTATCTCTTACTGTTATATCCCCGGGCAATGCCGGGTGCTACTGCTAGTCTTAAATATTTCTTGCTGACGGTTATCTTCTCAGTGTTGCCATTCTTACAGAATGTTTGCTTGCAATGTTCTTTTGAATTGTTCTTAGTGTTTGAATACGGTGATCACGTGTAATATCGTTAAATTAAATAATATCTGATCGTGTTTCATTTTAGTTCCATTCGAGGAACCTAAACACAGCTGATAATGAACACCAATCAAAACTCCTGCGCAATTTCTAGTATTCTAACTTCCACTCTTCCCATAATGTATCAAAATTTATTAAAAGCTACAATGGACAGGAAATTATGGAGAGCCATGAGCCTTTTACATTCTAAAGGGGAACGGTATATAGAAGAAAAAGAAAACAATCTATGTTCCAATCTATTAGTAAGGATGGCCTGAGACTTTTCATGCGGTACAAATAGTTATGATCACAAACATCACAAGAGGTAAATATTTACACCTTTCTAGCAATGTCTTGATTTTCGGCTATTTCTCACTATCCTTTAGTTTTACCTCAATATCCTTAGAGACGGTTTTACCGTATGCTGAGATTTCCTTACACCTTGACTAAAGTTTGCGCCAATTAATCCCGATTGACTGCTTTTAATTTTATTATTATTTTTACTCGTCGACGTTCCACATCAGTAGTATAAGACATCTTTCATTGGAGATCATGTGACAGCAAGGATTCTGATTATTGAAGATGATCTCGATTCTTCTTTGATGTTTTATGCTTCCATACACTTGCAAGAACTTTGAGTCTGCACAAAGATTTTCAGTAATGTTGGGTCATTTCTTGAAGGAGCGGATATTTATTCAGCTTTTCCTGTTCTTTAAGTTTGATTTTGTTATCTTCAGAAACAGTGACATCTACTATTTGAAATACCTTCTTTGTTCACCATCACTTCTGGATTGCTTGATTTTTTAAAATTTTAAATTTAAGCATTTTAATATTTTTCTGGGACAGTTACTAATTTGTGTATCTGTTATTTATATTCTCCGATACCAAATGGTTATAAAATCCACAGTGGATCATTCTTAATAGCAATTCCTGGACACATGTATTAAATTTTACTAAATCATTGGATGCATGTAGGATTATTCTCATGTTTTTTGAATATTTTTATGTTTAGCTTATTGTGTCCCAACTGTATTGAACTGAGCTGTTAACACAACAAGGTCTCATTTTCAAGTTTCCTCTGCACAAACTTTGCAAACGTTTTCTGATGCAGCATTTGCTGCCGCCGTGTGATTTCTTCTACAAATTTGTAGATTTTCATATTCATATATATATATATATATATATATATATATATATATATATATATATATATATATATATGTATGTATATATATATGTGTGTGTGTATTAATAAATATTTAGAGAGAGATATATATAGTTATATATATATCTACACCATCAATTCAGAAAACCTCTCTTTTAATATCTAAAAAAATTACCAAACTAGATCAGGTAGAGAAATGGCCGAACATCATTGGGCCGTGTGTGTGTGTGTGTGTGTGTGTGTGTGTGTGTGTGTGTGTGTGTGTGTGTGTGTGTGTGTGTGTGTGAGAGAGAGAGATATATATATATATATATATATATATATATATATATATATATGAGTAATTTTTGAGAAGGTGGCCGTAGGCAGGAAGGTGTATCATGGCAATTATATTCTGGAATAGTTTCGTCCAATTATGTTTATATTTTCGACTCTGACAGATTCTTGGTAAAATTTCTATAATTAGTTCGGTGTCATTTACTTAATAGATATTCGCCTTTCTTTTTTCTTACATTTTATTAAGATTCTATCTTTCTATTTTTATCAGGTTCTTATGGTCTATCTTTCTTTTTTCTTTTCACTCATATTTTCATTTTCTTTTTCTTTCCTTCTTTCTTTCTTTCTTTCTTTCTTTCTTTCTTTCTTTCTTTCCCTCTATTCATTTCATTTCGTCTTTTCTTATTTCTTTTTCTTTTCTTGCTTTTTTCATACTTAACACTCTGTTTTTTCTTTTCCATATTCCACTAAATTTTCTTTATTTCTTTCTTGATTTTCTTTCCGTTTGTGTTCCCTTCTTTCTTTCTTTTTTTCTTTTCCATTCTCTCTATTTAATATTTATTCACTTTTTCATCTAATCATCACTTTTACTCCTTATCTCACCTCTTTCTTTTTTTTTCTGTCCCATTATTCTTCATTTATTCCTAATTTTCTTTCTCTTTTCCTTTGTTAAAATAGTTCACTATTTCTAGACGTCTAACTGAATTAACAAGCAATTCACTTTTCAGCAATTCACGCATCTTTTAATTTTAGAATAATTTGAATGTCCATATTTGACCTCTTCATTAGTATTTTGCTTGAACATCATTTTCTTTTCAAAATACAGCAATGTGAATAGCAGTGTAACAAGTACAGGGAAAATTTGATCCATGCCTTTTTATGTCACAGCGTAACTAGTGATAAAGTATTGACTACATAATCGAATGATATCTGAGACGAGTAGAGAAGGTATAGCTCTACGGTAGCTACGATAAAATATATAATGTAATTATTTTTGTTGAACTGCATCAAGACTAATTTTGAAATTCTACTTTGTGAAGAAATTAAACCAGAGAAAATTTCCAATGGTTTTAATTGGAATATATTCATTCTTCCTGCGTTTTAGGCTATTATACTAAAGCGAAATAATTTCATTTGTAATAGTTTTAGACTGCAATACATATTTTAATGTAGATATTCCTTGGATGGATTTAATAATTTCGACTGCGCAAAATCTATATTCATTTTCATGGTTATGTAATAATTTTGTTTAGATGACATTATTAAAGCATTCAGCCTGGAGTTAGAGTTTATTTTGTGCAACTTGTTTCGATATGGAAAAGCACAGAACAATGCAATTGTGGGTTTAACATTAACCCCCAGGAATTAAAAGGCATAAGAAGGAAGAAATCAATACTATGAAATAGAATCAAGACAAAACAATATATAAGAGAAAATGAAGAAAATTAATAGAAGGAAAGGATAAGTGATAAAAAAATAAAAAAGACAAGAAAAAGTAGACATGAATGAAGAAGAAGCAAAGAAGAAAAAGAAACAGTGGCAGCAGAAGATTTCTTGCTTAGAATAAATATACTAAAGATGAAAATGAATAAGGAGATGATGATGATGATGATGATGATGATGATGATGATGATGATGATGATGATAAATAAAACGAGCAACAACAAGAATAAGAAGAGAATAACATGGAAAAAGTTGGGAAAAATGGAAGACTACGGAGAAAGAATAAGTAGAAAGACTGTGAAAATGCTGACGAAGAAAAGAAAACAAAGGAGAAAGAATCTGGTCAAAAAAAAAAAAAGAAAATGAAGGAACCTAAGTTAAAGACATAGATATGAAGAAGAAAACAATTGGATAATGAATGAAAGTTCAATAAGTGGAAGTAAAAAATTGAAAAAAAAAGGAGAAAAATAAAGACGGGCCATATTTCTTTTGACTAAACTATATTAGAAGGAGCAAAAGGTAACGAAGCAATATTTCAGGCAAAGAAAAATAAGGACAATACAAAAGAAAAGGCCGAAGAAATAAAAAGGATGAACACACGGACAGTCGCGAGAGCGTGGTAATCAGGATCCTTCCTAGGCTAGATAAATAAGGAATTTAAATAGACAGATGGACAAAAAAAAAGATATAGTTAATTCATAAGTATGTATACGCAATACATGATACAGACTGGCCATGTCAAAAAATAAGAGAGGACTCTTCTTTCAAAATATTTAAAAATGTGAATCAAAATGAATGACGAATCGCGATAGCAGCAAATGTAAATCAAAAGATAAAATATCAATAAATGGGAGAAATATAAGGAACAAACAAAGAAAAAAAGATACAAAAAAATATCTATGGAGAATGTAAATGATTCTAGCGCAGACAAAAATCATGAATACGATTATGCAGAGGACACCTAAAAAGAGAAATGTATTTTAAAAATCATTTTAATCGAGTAGAGAGGCGTAAGAGTGTATTATTCCGAGACAGATAAAAGGGTTAATAATGTTAAATTATACAAAAGTGTAAATTCTACTTTTGTGAAAGAAGAGACGAGAGATTAATTCAAATCTTTTGATGATGAAGATGTTTCAAATCAACAAGATAATTGGGCCAGTCCGTCACTTGCAATTATAAAAATGATTTCATCCTGTAAACAAATAATTATTGACGCCAAACAAAGGATCTTCTAAAAAATAAATATAAATTAGTTCGTGATTTTATCATCCTGGCACAGAAGTCAAAAACTAAAAGAAATGTAGTTTAGAAATAGATCAGAATTTAAATAATATAAAAGTAAATTTAAAGATGAGTGCCTGTATATGTTTTACATTTCGATATAAATTTTAACCAGCATTTTGTTGTATTTACTGTCACTTCCTATTTTATATATAAGAACTGCTAAAAACTTCTATTAGTCTAATGTAGTTTCCTTCTTGGAACGAAAAGTGTCTCATAACTTTCTTTATATATATATATATATATATATATATATATATATATATATATATATATATATATATATATATATATATATATATTATATATATATATATTTTTTATATATATATATATATATATATATATATATATATATATATATCTTATATATATATATATATATATATATATATATATATATATATATATATATACACACACACATATATATATATATATATATATACATATGAAGAAAAATATACTGAAAAAACAATATGCGATTATGCTGTTTTAATGTTTAATGTCAACGTCGGACGTTTCGGTCTAATAGGCCATCTTCAGGACATATTCATAAAACATAATTAACATAGACCATATACAATTCAACATGAAAAAGACGATGGACATAAAAGCAATACCAATCCAAACAGATAATTGAAATCTTTTATTTTTCAGTATATTTTTTCTTCATACTGTCGGATCTATATCCATATATTTGCTTATATATATATATATATATATATATATATATATATATATATATATATATATATATATATATATATATATATATCACTGTAGCTTATGTAAACAAAGGAAAGCTTGCCAAAATGTTGAAATTGCTGAAAATACTGACCAAGGAATACAATTGATGCAATAAATGAATAAATAAATACCAAGATTTTGCTCAAGTACTGTATAAACTGTAGGAAGTGAATCTTAACGTCGTATATTAAGAAGAGAGCCTGTAAGATCTGTACCAAAGTGTTTCTAGGGACTTTCCAAAAATCTCTATTAGAATTTTATTAAAGCCACTCGAGGAAATTTCACCAAACAGTTTATAGAGAGAATGGAACAACTGTAGATTCGAAAGTTTCCTTAACCCATCTATTTTAATGAACTACTTCTATCAACAATAAGGCGTTCCATCTTTGAAAATGCTTGATGTCACATGATCCCTAGAGGTCACCATTCGACATTTTGCTGCAGAATTAAAAATAATAATACGTAAAAAATATGAAGAGGATATTAACATCAACAACGTTTAAGAGAAAAGGAAAAGTCGAAGTAAAACGAACTCGGAAGAAAAAGAAGAACGACAATCGTAACAACTATGAACAAATGTTTTTGATATAAAAAAGATGAAGAGGAGCAAAGAGGAAACAGACGATAAAACAATCAGCAACAGTTGAAGAAGATAAAGAAAAAAAATAATGAAAGGGAAAAATGTAATTGAGTTTACAGTAGTCAAGAGAAAAGAGAATCTAAGAGAAAGAAAGAGAATGACTGAAGTGAAGAAGCAAGAAAGACGAAAAAAAGATGAAAGAATTGATAAAGAAAGAAGGAAGGAAGGAAGGAAGGAAGGAAGCAAGCAAGCAAGCAAGCATTACCCAAATATCTAAAAGAAAAATAATATAAAGAAAATTGAGCAAAGATATTGAATTTATTACCAATGTTTTAAAAACTGAAAATTTAAAATCGCTTTCTATTGAAGAAGAAATAATGTAACTGTTTTGGAACAGAAATTCCGGGCGTTGAACTTCAAAGATTATAGCAGTCAATATAGCGAACCTGGCGACTCTTGGGTGTGTCCAGAATTTTCGTTTAACGTTCTGGACAAAGAGGCTTAATTAACGAATGATATTCAGATTCTTTGACGTTTTGTTTTCTGTGGGATGTGTCCTTCAGCGTGTTTTATTTTATTTTATTTTTTTTTATTCTTTGCAGAACTCATCGAGAAAAGAATGACAGTGGCTTTCTGCTTCTATTTTTATAAATTAGAACATCTTTGCTGACCTCTATGGCGAAGGAAGTTCGCAAAGCAGTATTCTGGAAAATTACTAACCACAGTATATCTTATATCTGCACAACTTAAATTATTGGTATTCTGTTTTCTATACATCATACCAATTAGCCTGAAGAAGGCAAAATGTCTGTAACGTGTTATTATTTTTTTCAGTCACAAAAGCATATTTGTTCTGCAAGTTTAGCTATAACTACGACACGTCTAGCTGTGCCTCGCAAAAATATAATATATATATATATCAAAAACATTATGTTGCTCTTCTTATCTTATATAGTCAATACTTCATGAATATATGGCCTTAATGTGCAATTAATATAATAATTGATCCTCTGGCTTGATGCAAATAAAAACAATTATAACAAATTAGGTATCTCCATTAATTCGGTATACGTAAGGTTTAAAATGAAAATGAATTTTAATAATGAAAAATAAAAAAAAATTCTTGAAGCTTTCATTTTAGCTTTAATTAAAGTTAAAGAATTTAAAATTACTATTTTCGGTCAACATAAATTATATTGATCGAAATCGATTACTTTTTCAGTAAAATCGATAAAGACAGCCATTTGTGTCATATTTGTAAACAAAAATTAATTCTCGGTTTTAAGAATCTAGTAAAAATACAAATTATATTTCTGAACGTTATTTGAGAAGAATTAGAAAATTTAAAGTTAAATTAATATGTTTTGAAACAAATATTACTTACTTATAGCATAAACTGTTGTATACAAGCATTTCTTAATCATGGGGACATGGATTTATTGACAGCCGATTAACTGCCGTACATGTTAGTTAAGTATAAAGGAGCAGTTTATATGAGGGTACTACTCTTAAAAATGCTGA